CTATGTATTTTAATATGCAATTATGTTTTTTCTTCAATTATGTTTCCACACAAATTTGTTTCCCAACAAATTTTTATCTAAATGATATTTTTTCTTAAATTCTTCCTAGAATTTTTAAAAATCATTTTTAACAAAGAAAAGTTAGTCTTTAGGAGAGATGTCCAAGAATATTATCAAAAGGTCATGTATCTTCCACATGAAAGTAAGCCTAAGAAAATTACTTTGCTTACTTTGAGAAATGCAAATAAGTATGTACAAGAAATTCAATAAATATAAAATCAAATTCATATGTAAAAAACTTTCCTTACACTTCTGCTTATTACAAATGAGAAAGCAGTAACAACTGACTGTGTGAAGAGAAGAAAAAGATTTTTTTTCTCCTATTCCAAAGGGAAGTTTTAAGTGCTCTGAATATACTTTGTTCCTTTCTAGTTTTTCTCTCCACGAACACCAGAATGATCCTATTAAATACAAGTATAGGAGTCCTACTGTCAAATATCAGAAACAGTTCTATCCTGACTCTATAAAATACCTTATTTTTCACTCTGAATAAAAGCCAACGTCTTTTTTTAAAAAAATTTATTTTATTTTATTTGTGAACATACTGTACAGAGGGGTTACAATACATGGGCAGGATAATGCGTACATTTCTTACCAAGCATTGCAGCCTCCTCCTTTGTTTACCCTTCACATCCCTTCCCAGCCTCCCCCCTCCCCACCCAGTCCCAATCCCCCCCCCCCCCCCCCCCCCCCCCCCCCCCCCCCCCCCCCCCCCCCCCCCCCCCCCGGCACTGACATTGGTAAAGCTCGTTATGGACATGACAACTTGTACTTCTCATTGTTGTAACAGGTCCACCTGTATCCTTAAACGACTTGTTTTTCCCCATCTCCTCCACAAGTTATACTGACATCAAATATAGTGAAAGCAGGGGTTATACTGTGGGGGAAGGACATACAAAGCAACAAAGAAATAATCTTATAAATGCGTTAGAAACACATGCATGAAAGAAAAAAACATTAAAATACATATCTAAGGGTTCATTTTCCTAACATCACATTATCTGACCTTTTCCGCTTGACTCATACATATATGAGTCAAATAAGGGAAATTGCAAATAAGGGAAACCATGGGCCTATGTTTCTTTGGACCTGGCTTACTTCGCTTAATATAATTTTTTCCAAGTCTTTCCATTTCCTAACAAATGGGGCAATGTCATTCTTTCTGATGGAGGCATAGAATTCCATTGTGTATATATACCACATTTTCTTGATCCATTCATCTACTGAGGGGCATCTGGGTTGGTTCCATATCTTAGCTATGGTAAATAATGCTGCAATAAACATAGTTGTGCTGGTAGCTTTAGTGTGGTCTTGTTTGTAAACATTTGGGTAAATGCCCAAAATTGGGATTGCTGGGTCATAGGGGAGTTCTATGTGGAGTCTTTTGAGGAACCTCCATACTGCTTTCCAAAGTGGTTGAACAAGTTTACATTCCCACCAACAATGAAGTAAGGTTCCCTTCGAATGTCCACATCCCCTCCAGCATCTGTTGTTGTTAGAGTTCTTGATTTTTGCCATTCTAACTGGAGTGAGGTGGTATCTCAATGTTGTTTTGATTTGCATTTCTTTTATGGCTAGGGAGGTTGAGCATTTCTTCATGTTTCTATTGGCCATCAAAAGCCAACGTCTTTATAAATGACTACATTGCTCTAAATCCACATTCTTCAATGTTCTAACCACTGGTCACCTATTGAACATTTGAAATATAATATTTGAATATGATAAGCTGAAATACGTTGTAAGCCTAACATGCTTAAGGGCTCTGAAAAGTAGTGATAATATAAAGAATGTAAAATAATTAACTGATAATTGCATACAGATAAAATTTTGTAATATTATTTTGGACATATTCATTTGAACAAAAAGTACACAAACACTATTATAATTCTTCTTTTGTAGGTGTGGCTACAAAAACAAATTACATAGCTTGAATTTTAGTTCAGTTGGACATATCTGGTTTAAATTTTCAGCAGAACTCTAGTTCCCTTCCACTTCCAAAGTTCACTGGGCTCAGCTGTCTTTCAATATGCCATGTCTTTCTGAAAGACTTGATTCTGGGTGTCCCCTCTTCCTGAAAAGTCCTCTTCAGATACCTTCAGTTTCCTCAGTTTAAAAAAGAAATTTCCTGTTAAAATTATTTGCAAAAAGAACTCTGACCTATCGATTATAAACGTTCTCATTCAGCACAGGTGCACTGCCACCTAGCCACTTCTATTCCTTAGAAACACTGATCATCAAATCTATTATTAATTTGTGTAAAATATTGCACACATAAGTATGTGTGCTCATGTACTCAAATGCATGATTTTTCATTAGTAAAATTTGTGCCCCGTGAAATTATTGGTGTATCATTTTATTTGCTGCTGTTTTGATACAAAGTACCTGGCTTAAAATGGATGCATTATGAATATTTGAGGAAAAAAATAAAAGAATCAAATAAGTCATCTAAAATATTTATCATGAGGAAAGTGGAAAGTGAGAAGAACTGACAATTCTTCTACATGTGTACAACAAACCACACACTGTGTTAAGGAGTAACATTTAATATCTTAATAAACCCTTTCAGATAAAGGACTTTGCCAAATTACTACCTAATATTGATTATCACATCAATGCCTGTTGTTTTACTCAATAAATATCTTGTTGACATATCATGTCTAAAGCTGTCCACCTCATCTGATGTGTAAGACAACAACATATTTGTAGTTGTCAAATAAATTGATGAATCAAGTATGTTTTCCCGTAACACATTCTAAGCATAAGTGCATTGTTTGTGCCCAATGAAAATCAATGAGTGACTTTGTGTTGATGAACTGCATCCATTAGAGTGGCCAGGCTAAACACTACAGTGGAGTTGGCTCGTGTTTGGGTGGACTATTTGTTCTTTACTGACCATGTGTGATTGGATATCCTCTGGAAATACTCTTTCCAACACAGTAACTTCTAACCATATGGGAGGATATTTATATTAAAATTAAATAAAGCTGGAAATGTATTTCTACCACCACATAGCCACATTTCAAGGTCTAGACATCATGTGGTCAGTGGTAGTTTATCAGGCAATGATAGTAACATTCATTAGAGGAGAAGTTATGTTGAATAGCATTGTTCTGGAAGGCCTAAAATGTTCTTGGAAGCATGTATATGAGCGTATGTATGTATGTATATAGATAGATGGATGGATAGATGGATGGATGGATGGATCCAGCTATCTCCACTAGTCGAACAAGTCGGCTTCTTCCATATTCTGAAGAAGCTGGCTTGTTTGGCTAGTTTTGCATCTTAACTGAAATTCAAATTCGAGGAGTCCAGGAATCTTTATTCCCATGTGTCTCTGAACAAACCTCAGACATGGAAAAGGAGATTCATTGTCCATAGATGAAGCATTTAGTCAGACGTGTTCATGCACAGCTAGTGAGTGATGTGGAAAGAACCGCTCCTCCAAGCACTCTGGGCAGGCCTCCTGTTCCAGGGAGGACGCCAACACCTTGCTAGGATTATGCCTAATGCCTTTCAATATCATCCCTTCCCTTCTGATGTATAAAACAGAAGACAATCTGAAGCGAGGTAAGGTTTTAAAAGTATACAAACTGCACCCGCGGCTCACAGCTAGATGCCCAACCTTCACGGAGAAATTTCTAAACGTCCTTCTAACTGCCATGGCTTTATGATATATCTAACATTGTAATTAGTTTAAGAAGATTGTTGACCAGTGTAATTTAACTTTTTAGGTTTCTACTCCTGAATATTTCCCTCTCTTGTCCGAGAGGTAAAAACCTCTCCTGTCGTTGCCTTAGGGTATAGATAACAGGAGAGACCAGAACCTGTCTTCTCGTTTGTTTTCCCATCACGGTTACTGGGTAAGGGCTTCCTTGGCAGGAGTGGTCCAGGTCTTGCCCTGTGGCTTTGCCAGTTACGCAGAACTGGTCTTGGACCAAGCCTGGGCATGGCGCCTGGTCCTAACTTGTGGACGACAGCAAGGAGAGACCTGGGAGGGTCGTTCACAGGTGGAAAGGGGGTACGTCCTTGCGCTAGGCTCCTCTCCCCCAATAAGGGGGCCTCCAAAGCTCTCAGATCTTCCTGTTTGAGGAGCCACTGGAGCCACTCGGAGGACGGTGTAGAGTTCATGTATGACGGGGAGTCGGGCGGACCGACGGCCAGGCAGCGAGCCGCGAGGTGGAGGAGCGAAGGCACGGGGAGGAGGGGGAAAGGGCGGGAGGCGACCCGCAGGCAGCGCCCCGGGGCGGGTGGCGCGGGAAAGGGTCGCACCCGGGCGGAAGGGGCCGCGGGCCGGGGTTCGGCGCCCGCCGGGGGTTTGGAGACCGAGCTCTGCCGACTAGGTCAGCGGGACCCCGGACGCGGAGTCGGGGGCCAGCGGAGGGCGGGACGGGACGGAAGAAGAGGGAGCCGGGAGAGGAGGGGCGAGGGGCGGCGGCGATGGAGCCGGGGGAAGCCCGGCAGGCACCATCTCCTTCCGGAGAGGAGGCCGGCTCCGGGCCCGGGAGCTGGCTGGGGCGTCCGAGGGCGGGCGACGGGGAGACGCCGCGGCCCGCGCCACCCCCAGGGCCGGTGGCCAGCGCCGGGCCGGGCGGCGGAGGGGCGGGGGCGGAGGGGGAGGGCGGGGCTCGCGGAGGGGCGCGGGGGGCGGGGGCCGGCGCGCCCGTGACAGGGTGGCAGCCCAGAGGCGGACGCGCCGCCGCCGCCGCCGCTCCTCCTCCTTCGCCTCTGCAGCTCCTCCGGCGGCCGCGGCACTGCCGCCGCCTCTTCCACCGGGAGAAGTTTCGCTCCCGACCCGTGTTCCGAGCTCCAGCCCGGAGCCGAGCGGGAAGCCAGCCGGCGGCGGCAGCCCGAGCGCGCGCTGCGGGCCGGGGCGGCGCGGACCCCGGGACCGAGGAGGAGGGGCGGCGCGGACCCCGGGACCCGCCCGGCCGCCCGCCGCGATGGCCGTGCGCTCCCGCCGCCCGTGGGTGAGCGTGGCGCTGGGGCTGGTCCTGGGCTTCGCCGCCGCGTCCTGGCTCATCGCTCCCCGGGTGGCCGAGCTGAGCGAGCGGCGGAGACGCGGCTCCAGCCTCTGCTCCTACTACAGCCGCCTGGCCGCCGCCCGCGCCGGCGCGCCGCGGCCGCTCCCCCGGCCCCAGCCTTCCCTCCCCGCGCGCCCGGGGCTCCGGGAGCCGCAGCTACCCCAGGCTGCGCCCGCACTCACCGGTTTTCGGGGCAGCCCCCGGCCGCAGCCACCTCCCCTGCAGCCGAGGAGGCGCGGACGCGAACCTGAAGGTGCGACGGGGCTCCCCGCGGCTGAGCCTGAGCCAGAAGAGGAGGACGGGGGCGCGGCGGCCCGGCGGAGGGGCGGCCAGCACGGCAGTGGGGACGGGGCCGCCGCCGGCCCGCGCGCCCGGCCCCGTGGCTTCCTGTACGTGGGGGTGATGACCGCACACAAGTACCTGGGCGGCCGCGCGCTGGCGGCGCAGCGGACCTGGGCGCGCTCCGTGCCCGGCCGCGTGGAGTTCTTCTCCAGCGAGCAGTCTGCCGGCTCCGCGCGCGGCCAGCCCGCGCTACCCCTGCCTGTTGTCGCGCTGCCTGGGGTGGACGACTCCTATCCTCCGCAGAAGAAGTCCTTCATGATGATCAAGTACATGCACGACCACTACCTGGACCAGTACGAGTGGTTTATGCGCGCGGACGACGACGTCTACATCAAAGGTGACCTCCTGTCCACACCCCACGCGTCCACCCCCGGACCCTCTTCTCCACCGCCCTCCCCGGCCCCCCGGTCCCGGCCCGCCACTCAGCCCACCGCACGTGCACTGAGCCTCTCCCCCCCCCCCCCCAGCGCCCTGCTCTGCGGCCCTCACCCTTCGCCCCCTCCCCGTTAGCCTCCCTGGGCGCCGCGCGCTCTGCTGTCGGGACCCTTCCACCTGCCCGGCCCTACTCGCCTTCCTCGCGGCTGGCGGTTGTCTTCACCACCTAGCCGGCGTCCCTACTCCACCCTGTGAGATCAGAAGGGGGTTCTAAGACGCCACTCTGTCCGCCCTGCTCCGAGGCCGGCGGCGGGGACGGAGGGGCGTGTCCTCGGTGAGCCAGGCCGCAGGCGGGGTGCCAGCCCAAGCCACTCCGGAGGTCTCTGTTCTTTTGTTTCACCTTGATCTCTAGCAGTTTCAGAACTCCTGAGAACTGTTGAACGCGGGACTCCCGGACCCCCATGCCTGTGCCCTTTTCTCACGTGCCACGCATGGGAGCCCTAGGGGCATCCCCACCGCCCCAGCGCGTCTCTCCCGGCCAGGACAGCGCATTATGGGGCTGTGCCCTATTCCTTGCCACACCCCAATAAGAACCCAAGGAGTGAGCAAGATTGTTGGGTGGAGAGGAAGGGCAAACACTCAGAGTCCAAGTCCTGAGAGATCCAAGCTGTGCTAGCAAACAGGAGTACTAGATCTTCTCCAGAGCATCTGTGCATCCTATGCAGTCACAGGGCAAGAAAACTTGTTTAGTGTTAAAGAAGGTGCGGTCCTGTGGTCCCCAAACCCAGAGTGTGGGTTGGTCGGGCCCGAGAATTTCTAAACCCTGGATGGGGAATTCCTTAGAGCACAGGAGTAAATCCTTTTAGATGAGACCACTGCTGCTATACGCAAGGGAAGGAACAAGATTATCCCGAAAACAGTGTCTCAGTGCTTTCTACATTTCCTAGTTTCTTGGTCAGAGACGGGCAGCTCTTCCTTAGTTTATTCCACTTTACTTGCAGCCTCTTGGCTTTCCTTTGGTCAATGTAGTATCTTTCACATAATGCAAATGTCAACCCACCCAAATGTCAAGGACCAATCTGGAGGCAGAGTTAATGTGGTGTTAATGAATAGGTATTTCCTGAGATTGTGGTGGGAGGGCAAAAATCAATTTTCTGCTCCTTTGGAATAGCAAATGTCAATAATGGAATGTAAAAACGATGTTCCGTTACAGCTGCATTTCTGAAACTTATTCTTTAGGACCCATTAAAAATATTTTTATCAGAAGTGTCCTCACTTAATTTTACTTTATGTTTTATGCTTTATGGAACTTTGGGAGTAATTCTTGATCTATTTCTTTGTAAAATTACCAAGGTTTCCTAGACCGAGGGTCACATTCCAGACAATTTCTAGAAGCATTAGTAGCACCTATTTTTGTCTTCTGCTGTAATGTTTTGAAAGACTTTTCAGACCTTTAAAGCCATATACTTTCCATTTTAGTTGAGTAAAATGCATTTTTTAAATTAAAATGTGTTTTGTAAAGCAAAATTCCTTGACATCCAGGAGACACATCATGGGATCAGGATAATAATTGGGAAGGTCTTTCCATGGCAAACGGCAGTCAAGTTACTGAGTAGGAGGCTGCAGAAGACAACTTCTTACTTAGTCCTAGGTAGAACATCAAATGCCTGCGGTCTGTTTCAGCTACAGAATATTATCCTTAAATGCTTTCTCCTGATGGAAACTAAACACTCATTACATTATTTTGCTTGTAACAAGTGTATTTTTTTTTCTGAAACAATTTCTTCCCAAGATGAATTTGATTTAAATACTTGCCAAAATGATACTAGTTGTACATGATTGAAGTTTGATGAATGACACAACTAAATTAAGCATAAGGAAAAAAAATATATCTGGCTATCAACAGTCTATCAAAACAACACAGAATATCAATATTTAGTATGATTTTGTTTTTGAGAATTTTCATTACATCTAATGTCTTTATCCTCATCATTATTTCACCATTTTCTAACAAGACTGATGATTGTTAATTTGTTACTGTTTTATGGTGACCTTAACCAAAAGTGGATAAACTCTTATGAAAGTTTAATGGATCACTGTAATGTAGATTGGGAAGTGTGGGATGGGAGTGATGGCTGCCTTTCTCATTTCAGGCGATAAGTTAGAAGAGTTTCTGCGATCCCTGAACAGCAGTGAGCCTCTTTACCTAGGACAGACTGGCCTGGGGAACATTGAAGAGCTTGGAAAGCTGGGGCTGGAACCCGGGGAGAATTTCTGTATGGGAGGACCCGGCATGATCTTCAGTAGAGAAGTGCTTAGGAGGATGGTGCCACATATTGGCAAATGCCTGCGAGAGATGTACACGACTCATGAGGATGTGGAAGTAGGAAGATGTGTTCGGCGCTTTGGTGGGACGCAGTGTGTCTGGTCTTATGAGGTAAGCCTTGAGTGGTGAGGAGAATCTTCATGTATTACAGGTGTGTGGCACGCCACAGTCTGTGACAGTGATTTGGCTTACTCTTTCTGTATCTTCCTGTCCATAAATGATAGTCCTAGCCCTTTATGTATGCTGGCGTGATGATGGGATGCCTTTCTCATTAGATCTAAGGCCTGTCTGAGACATTATTTGCATGTTTCTTAAATTTAAGTAGATAAACGATCACATCTCTGCAAAATGCATTTCCACCTTTTTTGTTTATTGGTGTTTGGACACATGTGTTTACTTGCTGTATCTAAAAAGAGGACCGATTTTATTCTCATTGGCTGTTGCATTCCACCTGTCTTTTCGATCATTTGGTAATGTCTCACTTTTTGTCCCTATTGTTAGATATGTAATACATATCTAACATATGTTTGTAAATGGTTAATATCTGAAGTTGCCTTGGAGATATCCAAGTGGATATTTAATGCATCTTTAAGGAAAAGTTAAAAATATTGTATTCCTTATGTATTCACACCCTCTCTTAACCACTCTATTTGATAATAAGTTGGACATCTAGGTGGCATAGGGCCCGGGGGAAGGGGGATGGTGAGTTCTGGTTGTGTTACACAACTGCTTAATATTTTCAATAGTGCCCTGACATTCCTTATGCCTGCTCATACACAGTATCTGAAGAGCAAGCATATATCATCTGAGTCGTGAACTGTTATGTATATAAATTCCAAGAGATTCTTTCTTGTTTCCTTTGGAAACTGGTTTATAAATTAAATAAAATGTTATTTAAAATAGATTTCTTAAAATGTAATCTTAGTTAAAATTGATTTGATGTTTAAATAAGACTTTGCTTTTTAGGTATTTGGATTTCAATCTTATTTTAGCTACCCAGTGCACCATTGTAAATTACATTCTGATTAATTTGCTTATCTTCAACATTTTCATATCACTTTATATAGCAGAAACATTTCATGAAAATATGTTTCCTGTGAGGTCATTGTACCTGAGAGTTACGTGGTTCCATTTGCTTTTTTCTTGGAAGTATGTTTCTGGGTTATTTTATTTTCTTTTTGGTACTTGGTAATACTCACACCTCAGGGTACTTACACCTCAGAAGTTAATACAGTTACTTAATACAGAAAATTATAGCTATTATATTATACAATAAAATTAACTGCATATTTGGAATATAGGTTATGCAAATTAAAGTGATTACATAACAACTTACTCTGGATAAAAAAATAGTTTTTCTTCTGTAAAACTATCTTGCACCCTAGTATCCTGTCGCATGCCTAAAATCCTAGCATTTAGGAGGCTAAAGCAAGAGGATTGTGAGGTCAAGGGTAGCCTGGTCTGCATAGCAAGACTCTGTCTCTCATACAAACTAAAAAAAAATAGCAACAAACTACCTTTAGGAGAAAACTGATGTAAAGATTATAGTTAAAAGGTAGGCATCTCAATGAAAATTTCTCCTTAACACAAAACTATCTGTAAAACAAAATAAACATTTACTGCAGAAAACACATTATCTATTGTTTTGCAGACGTTTACTGAGTGAATGAGTTAAAAAAAAAACAATTGTTACAGTAAGAGAGCAAGCCATTATATTTACTGCCTTAATACATATAGTTTTAAGACATTTTGTGTTTACATATCCTTCCCTCCAAGTTCCTTTGGCTTTGCTCTCATGATCCATTTATTACCTAGCATCTCTTTATAGTAGGGAACATATATTCATGTGACCTGCAAGCTCAAGAATTAATATTTAATTTATACTTTGTTCTAGTTAAAGAGAAGAGATACTATCATCAATATGTATCTTTGGATTCTTTTATTAAGAAAAAAGCTAAATCTTACAAGTTGTAACTTAATGAATATAACATTTTTCAGTAACTTTTCACAGTATGTGTGAATTTAGACAGACACTTGTCCATTGCTGACTTCAGTGATGGACAAATCAGTTCAGCATTTTTCCTATCATAAAAAATAATCTTTCTCTAAAATGTTGAGATTTAACAGTTTACTTCATACATTTCAGTGAAGAAATGCAAAATAATTTATGCAAGGCCCTTCATGTAGTATATAGCATAAGTAAATGTCACTAGATACTTACTGGTATTGTCCTTATACAATAGAATATGCTTAATGCTACTGGTTTGTAAAGTATATAACATGGATTCATAGATTTTTATTTAATAATTATTGGAATGATTATTCATCTATATAAAGGAGTCAAAATAAAAATAAAAATTTCATTGGGCACTGGTGGCTCATGCCTATAATCCTGGCTACTCAGGAGGCTGAGTTGAGGATTGCAGTTCAAAGCCAGTAAAGTCTCTGAGACTCATATCTCCAATGAACCACCAGAAAACAGAAAGTGGTGTTGTGGCTCAAAGTGGTAGAGAGCTAGCCTTGAGCAGAGAAAGCTCAAGGGTAGTGCCTAGGCTCTGAGTTCAAGTTCCCAGGACTGACCAAAAAAAAAAAAATTCATGTACAGATTACAACCTTAAATGAGTTTCATTTGACTAAGAGTAAGAAAACAATATGTTGTAGTCATCAAAAAATGCTCAAAATTGAGCATTATGGAAACATGAGTGTCTCTTTTTATAAATGCACTACAGGTATTTGCTTCAGTCCATGTGCATTGAATAATTGACCTTAAGGAGAATATATGAAAAATATTTTAAAAGTCCTTATTTAGTACACATAGTTAACAGTATCCTAAACAGGTCAGACTCTGTCCACACAAAAAACACAATTCCTGTGTAGGTTCCATGATTCATTTCCATGGCAATGATCCACTTCTCTGAGTTTGTCTCCAATTGTCAGTAGGAAAGGAAGTTTGTGATATCCTAGTCTGCAGTCAAATAACATGAACACCCATGAGCTTCTCTCTTAAGGCAGCTGAAAGTTTTTCTTGATGTACCTCAGGGCTTTGATTCAATCATGTGTAACTTCAGTTCTTTATCATAAGAGCCTGGTGGGCTGGGTAAATATATCTATCTTGCCAGTTTACCTATTGCTCTGTTTCTCTCTGTCTTATCCAGATACCTTTTTCCAACTGCTTAAATGATACAAAAAAATTAAGCATCAAAGGTCACTAGAGAGTCTAAATTGAGAGTCTCCCTTCCTTGACTGAAGCTAAGTCATTTAGTTTTGGAGATGTTAATAATCAGCAGGTTTCATAAGTTGCTGTTATACTCACTTATACCTCCTGTACTTGCTGGTTATGTGAATAATATAATAAACTTGTAAGTAAACATAAGTAAATGGAGTTTGCTCATGAAAAATCTCCAATTTAATTCATACAGTGTTTCAGCAGAAATCACTGTTTTGTTTGAGCCCTATCTTAGCTACTGTTTTGCTAGAGCTGCAATCTGACATCTTGGGAGGCTGTATGTGGCGTTTAGCCACTGTTTGGCATGAGTGTTTTAGGGTTTAGTGGTTTTGTTTTGTTTTCTTTCTTTTTCTTTCTTTTTTGATTTCTTTAGCAGAGATAGACAATGCTTAGTTCCCTTCACATCTTACTCTACATTGACTTTTCTTGTACATTTACTTTCAATGCTTAGCTTAGGTTTTTTTTTTTCTTTTCCTTTTTTCAAGACATATATCTCATGTTGCAAGTTTCATGAAAATATTCTGTATAAAATAATATTTTTTCCAGAGAATGAAATAGAAGTAAAATATGTCTCAAACTCATCTATGAAACTTTGGGTGGTATAATACAGTTGCATGTTTTAAATATATTTTTACTAAATAGCAAAAACAGTCTTTGCTATTAAAAATAATTTAAAACATGAATCATTCAGAACACGAATTTTTGTGTTTTGTTGATGTAGAAGAAGTAGACATTTTTTTAAGAGTACTCATGTTATAGCATTAAAGTAATTTTGATTGCAATGATTGTTCTCCTGATGACATTTTCATTTTATCTATCAAAGAATTCTTTTAAGATTAGTGTTTCTCATTTTAATTTTTGCAGCAAATTAGACCCAAAGTATACTTTATTAATTAAACTAAGTGTTGTTAAAAAATTCAAAAAGTCAGAGTTCTTGGTTGGTAAAACATTTCTCTGTGACTTCAAGAAAACATTTCCTGTGATTAAACTGATTTTTTTAAAAAAAATTACTGCATAGGGTGTTAATTTCACCCAAGAACACTTGTATTTCAATCTGGGCCCTTTAGAAGTATAAACAGATATATATTCTGTGAGTGTTTTCCTGGGTATGATAGTCATATCATAGATCAATAGTATAAGCAATTTTATTGTTGCATATAACTTGCTCCTTAGGCTGTAATTTGTTAATAACATAATATTTTGAAATTAAATTAAATGTGTGTCATTCTTAAAGGGTATTATTTGAGCTTCTTACCTCTTTCTATGTAACCTTCTTTGTAATTTCCCTGTTTTTTCAATGATAGTTTTGCTCTGTTGTGAACATGATTTAGACTCTCGAAGTATATTATTATATGTGCTAAAATATAACACTTAAATTTTGATTTAAAAATCTAGTTCCTAGTTTTTGTTTTCCTTTTGACAGTCATAGGATATAATTAGAATTTCAGCATTTCTGTTGACTGTTGCTCAGCTGGTCCACACAGCTTGGGCAGTGGATGTAAAGCTATCTCTTGCAACTGGATACTTTCTCATAGTCTTAACTTTTATGTTTCAGATATTGCTCCTTTATAAAAAAATTAGGGTAGACTTTTATAACAGTCTTGTAGAAAACTATGTTTTACCTAGTGAAACGTTATATTGATTTCATCTGAGTAACTTTTAGTAATAGAATTTTTAAACACAGATGGGATGCTTTCATTGATTTTCATTGCTGTTGCACAGGATCTCTAAAAGAAAGAGCAGCAAGAGTGATCTGTTTGATTAATGGTGGATACAATAATTTTACAAACTAAATAGTTAAATGAGTAGCTTTAATTTTATCCACTCATTGTTCGTAAAATCCTCATGTCTGTGTATGTAACTGACTGCTGTATTGGGGGAAATA